AAAAAAAAAAAGAAAGAAACAGCCTTCTAGAAGACACTGAGTGAATAAAAGAATAGTGACGATTAAGTTTTTCATGGTCTAATTAAGAGAAGGCCAATGATGCATCATTCTCAGCTGAAGATACAGTTTAAAAAGCAGCAGAGCGTAGGGGATGACATTTAATCTATGGGTGACATCTATCCATTCACTGTCAGTTGACTATCAGATTCTTGAATGACAGAGTGGGTGTCATTACAGCAAATCTGACTTTGCATAAAGTGGCTAGAAATAGACACTTTTGGTCATTTGGTTATTGAGGCTGAACAAGCCCCAGCCTCCTTGGTGGTTGTTTCTGTCCCATTAATATTACTAACACCTGAGTACCTCGAACAAACACCCCAAGGTGTTTCCCAAAGTCAGTGAAGGAGTTAACCAAGCACAGGTTCTGCACATGGTATATATGTGACAGGAACTTCCAATTCCGATTCTGATGGATGCTGGAGGTGGCTTCTGATACATAAAAACACAGTTACTCAGGAATTTGGGAATATGAATTAAATTTAAGTAAGATGCCTTGGTGCTTATAGCTCAGCATTTAGGGTGCCAGCCACATACACCAGAGCTGGTGGATTTGAATCCAGCCTGGGCCCGCCAAACAACAATGATGGCTGCAACCAAAAAATAGCCAGGTGTTGTGGTGGGTGCCTGTAGTCCCAGCTACTTGGGAGGCTGAGGCAAGAGAATTGCTTAAGCCCAAGACTTTGAGGTTGTTGTGAGCTGTGACGCCATGGCACTCTACCCAAGGGGGACATAGTGAGACTCTGTCTCAAAAATAAATAAATACATACATAAATTTAAGTAAGATCCTAGAAAATGGACAAATACTGCAGTGTTATGGTAGAGCAGCAGCCAGGCCTGAGCTAGGAGTCAGAAGCTGATGTTCTAAGCTGCCTCTGTTCCTCTCTGGCTGATTTAGGCAAGTCACTCCTCTGAGCTTCATTTTCCTGGTCCAAAAAGTAAAGAAAATTAATCTTGTCTCTCCTCCCTTCTAGGGTTGTAAGAACTTGGAATACCTTTGGGATACTATAAAGTAAGAACTACAGGTTGTTGCAGTTTAAAGTAGACTGGGTTTTGAATGACACTGAAAAGATGAATTAAGTACTTTTGTAAAGACAGGAGCAATTAGTTAATAATTTACACCTTTAATTAGCAAACTGTCATGGGTATATTTAAATCTAGATATTGGGTTTCTAAAACATCAGCAGTCTGAACTGACCACATGGATCATCCTAGAGCTCCTTAATTTTGAGGGGAAATGGCATGTGTGGGGTGGTGCCTTTGGCTCAGTGGGTAAGGCGTTGGCCCCATATACCGAGGGGGGTAGGTTCAAACCTGGCCCCGGCCGAACTGCAACAAAAAAATAGCTGGGCATTGTGGTGGGTGCCTGTAGTTCCAGCTACTCGGGAAGCTGAGGCCAGAGAATTGCCTAAGCCCAGGAGTTGGAGGTTGCTGTGAGCTGTGTGATGCCACAGCACTCTACTGAGGGCAATAAAGTGAGACTGTCTCTACAAAAAAAAAAAAAAAAAAGAAAGAAAGAAAGAAAAGAAATGGCATGTGTTGAGGAGAGTGAACAGGTGATGGGTGGTGGTGACAATCTCTAATGTATCATAAGAGATGTGAAAAATTAAGTTGGGATAAAACAAAGTGGTAAAACCAAATAGGAGGTAGGTGTGGTTCCCTGTTTTTTTGTTTCCTTTTTTATTATTATTTTTATTTAATTTTGAATTAAAATCATAACCATATACATTTATGGGATATAATATGATGATTTGATATACAATGTGGAATGCTTAAATCAAATTGATTAACATAACCATCGCCTCACTTATTTTTTGTGGTAAGACATTTAAGATTTACTCTAAGTTATTATTATTTTTTAAATTAAATCATAGCTGTGTACTTTAATGCAATCATGGGGTACAGTGTGCTGGTTTTATATACAATTTGAAATATTTTCAAACTGGTTAACAAAACCTTCATAGCATTTTCTTAGTTATTGTGTTACTCTAAGTTATTTTGAAATATACCCTTGCATTGTGCACATTAGGTGAGATCCCACCAAATGCCATCTCTCTGATTTAAAAACCGTACCCTTTCTCATGCATCTCTTGGTCATCCTCCACATCATCTTTGTTTCTTGGAGAATCCCGCTCGATGGTGACATGGTCTTCACCCTAGAAACCAAGCATGGGAGCAGAAATGGAACCATGAGACACCTCAGTGTGATGGACCTGAGTTTTCTATGCTCAGAACTCTGGCAAAGATTTTTCGATAAGTCCTTTTAAATGGTTGTGCAAGAAGTTGGCTGCTACTATCTAAGATGCAGACATTTTTAATTCTTGTCTTATATCACAAAAATTCCAGGATCATATTTAATTCTGCCTTTCCTCCCAAAGGAGCAGTTGGTAGTTTCTTCTTTTCTTAAGGGACAGGTTCATATTTGTGCTTTTTGTTCCTGTCTCTAATTACTCAACCCTGGGTCTGTTTTCAGCCAAGTGCTAAATGAAGTTAATACCAGAGGCTGCGTAAATCTCCTTTAATACTCTGCCAGTCTTGTTTCCAGAGGCCAAAGCTAAATTCTCTGTCTGTGGATATGAACACTAGCTCGCCCCTATGAGAGTGATAAACATCCTCTTGGTACGAGGGTCCAAAGGGGAATACTTCTCTATCAGCTGGGCTAAAGGGGGACTATTTCTCAGCGAGCCCTTCCTCTCATTAATCGAGTGAAGTATTGTGTTGAAGTGGCGTTTTAGTGTTGAAGGGTAACGCATTGCCTGGATGTACCACAGTTTATCCGTTCACCTACTGAAGGACACCTAAGTTGATTCCAATTCTTGGCAATTACCAATAAAGCTGCTAAAAACATCCATACGCAAGTTGTATGTGAACAGAGGTACTGTTTTTTGTTTGTTTGTTTGTTTAAGGGTATTTAGCGATATGACCATTTTTAATACATTAAGTAAAATAGGTAGTTACCTAATACTGTAATATATATAGTATGATCCCAATACGGATGACATATGCCTGTGGCTATGTGTTTGCCCAAAAGACAAAGTTCCAAGATGTTAGGCACTGATTTTTTTTCTTCTTATTATTTTTTTCTTTTTTTGAGACAGAGTCTCATTCTGTCACTCTGGCAGAGTGCAGTGGCATCATCATAGTTCACAGCAATCTCAAACTCTTGGGCTTGAGCCATCTTCCTGCCTCAGCCTCCCAAATAGCTGGGACTACAGGCATCTGCTCACCAGGCTGAATTAGTTTTCTATTTATAGTAGAGAAGGGGCCTTGTTCTTGCTCAGGCTAGTCTCAAACTCCTGAGCTCAAGCCATCTCGCCTGCCTCAGCCTCTGAGAGTGTTAGGATTATAGGCTTGAGCCACCATGCCTGGACTGATTTTTTTTTTTTTTT